GAGCCTGGCGGGCTCCACAAGGTGGCAAAGAGTTGCACATGACTGAAGCAACTTAGCATGCATGCACGGTAGATTTCAAAGTCTTTGATGTAACTGGGGAAGATAACTTTAGGTCTCAAATAAGCTTTAAAGCCGTTTAACATTTTATTTTTTTTTTGAATAAGCAATATTTGTTTAAGAAAGAAAAATAAAAAGCAAATAAAAATTTTTGACCTAGTTCTGTGAAAAATGCCACTGGTAATTTGATAGGATTGCAGGGAATATGTAGAGTGCCTTGGGTAGTGTGGTCATTTTAACAATATTGATCCTTCCAATCCATGAACACAGTATATCTTTCCAACTGTGTCATTTTTAATTTCTTTCATTAGAGTCTTACAGTTTTCTGAGTACAGATCTTTTGCTTCCTTAGGTATGTTTTTCTTAGGTATTTTATTCTTTTTGATGTGATGATAAGTGTGGTTGTTTCATTAATTTCTGTTTCTGATATTTCATTGTTATTGTACAGATATGCAAGAGATTTCTGTGTATTGATTTTATATCCTACAACTTTACTGAATTCATTGATGAGCTCTAGTAGTTTTCTGGTGGTGTCTTTCAGGTTCTCTATGTATATCATCATGTCATCTGCAGGCATTGGCAGTTTTACTTCTTCTTTTCCAATTTGGATTCTTTTTTCTTCTCTGATTGCCGTGTCTAGGACTTCCAAAAATACGCTGAACAAGACAAATCCTCATCTTGTTCTTGATCTTAGAGGGAATGATTTAAGCTTTTCACTGTTGAGTATAATGTTAGCTGTGGGTTTGTCATATCAAGTAAATTAAATACAAGTTGGAAAAGAAATATGAAAGTGACCCATCATCTAATCACTCAAAGATATCACTGTAAACAGTTTGGCAAATGTTCCTTCTATGATTTTATAGGCATCTATGGTTCTGTTTAGATCTTCATGTATCTATACTACCTCTATTTATGCATATAAATACGTTTACTTTACAAAAATGGTATCAGTTTGTTCTGTCACCTCTCTGCATAGAAACTAATTAGGAACATCTTTTCATGTCACTCAGCAAGCATCTGTCACTTTTAAAGGCTGCTTAGCAGTCGTGTCTTGGGCCAGACCTTGGTAGATTTCAGCACCCGGCAGTTTCCTCCTGTTGGTTGCAGTGTGCACAGCCTTCTAGTACACACATCTCTGCACATTTATGCACTAGTTTCTTTAGGAAAATATTTTTGGAAGTGGAACTGGTAGGTCAGAGTTATGTTTTTAATATGTTTGATATGTGCTGGAAATTTTTCATTTGGAAAAGTATCTTTGATTTATATTCTCACTAGCTGTATATAAAAGAGCCTTTTTAATCAGACCCTCCTCAGCACAAGGTGTTATTCTTTTTAATTGTTGCCAGTCTGATAGGTGGTGACTATTAATTTGCATTTTATTGATTAATAAGTAAGGTTGAATTTCTTCATGGTTATTGGCCATTGTTTTTCCTTGCTTCTTCATGTCATTAGTCCTGCAGTTGGATGTGATTTTTTTTCCCTGTTTCTCTGCTATTTATGTATTTGTTTGTGTATTTCTTTATCTACTGTGGTGTATCTTTCTTTCACATATGTAGCAGTCACATCCCACCCCTGTTTTTAGTTTATTATATGTCTTTAATTGTATTTGCATTTTACAACATTAAAAAAGTTTTTATTTTTATATAGCCAAATCCACCATTCTTTTCCTTATGATTCCTAACCTCAAATATTTGGAAGCTTTGTGAATTCACTTGTTTACTGGGATACCTAAGCTAAAACACAGTGATGGGTTTGATATTGCCCCTCCTAAATCCATGATGATTTCACTTGTGGGAAGAGTCAGTGAAATATGGGTATAGATTTTTTTGATATTCAAAAGTGAGATATTTTAGAAGGAAGGCAAAGTTGAGTCCCATCCAGTGATACTGTACCAATAGTTGGAAGTGGAATTCCAAGACAACTCCCAACTATGGTTTCTGGTCCCTGTTGCACCCACCTGCTCTCCCAGTGGTTCAGGGAAACGCTAATTTATGTGCTGCTGTGAAGGGGTTTGTTGATGTAGTTAAGGTCCCCAGTCCGTTGACCTTCACATAGGGATATCATCTGGGTAGGCTGATGTAATACATGAGCCCTTTGAAAGCGGAGTTTTCTCTGACTGGTTGCAGAAGAGGATTTAGATGATCACATATCCTTGCCATGAGCTGCCCCCACATGGTAAGGAAGTGCGGGTGCCCCTCAGACCCGGGAGCTGTCCTGGGTGCCCTCAGTCCAGGAGATGAGTTTTGCCCAATACTAGTGAGCCTGGAAGAGTGTTTCCAGCCCCCAGAGAAGTTCACACCTTACTCGTCCACTGTCTGTGCCCACACCACCTGCTGAGGCTGCCTTTTGCACAGGAGGCACCCAATATGGTTTGTGGAAATCCATGGTCATAACTGAACACCCGTATCTAAGAATTTCATACCACCTCTCTATCTGGCCCCCATTATTCATATAAATATGCTGAGTAGACTGGTCCACATGGGCTTGTATCAGAGGAAGATTGGTTACATTGGTGACTGTCGGTTTGCTAAGTCGCTTCAGTTGTGTCCGACTCTTTGGGACCGACCCCATGGACTGTAGCCCGCCAGGCTCCTCTGTCCATGGGATTCTCCAGGCAAGAGTACTCTAGTGGGTTGCCATGCCCTCCTCCAGGGAATCGTCCCGACCCAGGGATGAAACTGCGTCTCTTACTTCTCATGCATTGGCAGGCAGGTTCTTTACCACTAGCGCCACTTAGGAAGCCTGGTGAGTGTCTAACAAAGCCAGAAAATGCATAACTTGGGGAGTAACCCAAAGGGATCTTTCATCCATCTGTCTCTCTCCCTCCCTCCCTCTTCTTCATGCTTTTCTAAACACTCATCAGCACAAGAATAAAGCATAAGCTTGGAGGGAAATCTGTCAAACTGTTGCTGTTCTACTCAACTGTACGTTGGGTGTGAGAGCTTTGATTTTTTTTTTCTTTTTTAAAATGCACTTTTAAAAATTTTATTTTTATTTAACACCAGAAACATTTTGTATTGGGGTATATAGACAATTAGCAATGTTGTGATAGTTTCAGATGAGCAGCAAAGGGATTCAGCCATACATATATGGGTTTTTTACTCTACTAATTTCTGTATTTGACTTTTTCACAACACACATGAAATTCTCTTAAATTTTTTTTTTAAAGAGGAAGGACAAGTGCAGTGTTGTCTGCACCTCAGGCTCCTCTTTCCTAAATGAACCCGAGCCTCAGAGTTATTATGCCTCCTCCCACATTGGACTCTCTGCCCCCATAGACCATACTTGAGACTAGCTCCCCAAATTTTGTGTGAGCCAGAAAAGGTCCCAGAGGTATCCTGACAGCCCAAGTGCTCTGGCCATTCCATACAGGGCTCAACAGAAAGCTTCTTCTTCACACGACAGTAGGTGAACTCTGCTGAATAGTGGGAGGTCCCCACTGCCTGACTTCCGCCTGTGTCTCGGGCCTTTCCGCACTGCTAAAACCGAGGACCACAGTCTGGGTGGCTTCAACATCAAGAGTTTGTTTCTGACAACATTGGAGGTGGGGAATTCCAGAAGATCGGGTGTCTGACGATGACCCTCCTCCTGGTTTGCAGATGGCCAGCTTCACTCCTTGTCCTCACGTGACAGAGGGAGGGGCACTGGTCTCGTCCTCTTCTTATAAGGACACTAATCCCAACCTGGGGGCCCCACCCTCATGAGCTCATCTAAACCTAGCTATTCCCCAAAGGCCTGTCTCCAGGTCCAATCCCTTTGGGGATTAGGGCTTCACTATGTGTGTTTTGGAGGGACACGCACGTTCAGTCCATGACACCCTGCCTGCTGGGGCTGCCCCGACTCTGGCCACCAGCAGTGACTTGCTCACTTAGACTGGACTGAGGAGCTCACTTCTATCTCGCTGTTGATGTCTGCTGACCATAGTGCCCTCAACCAGTGTCCTGGACTGGGGAGTGCAGTAGGGGTGGGAAGGCAGACTGCCCTTAGGAGGGGATGGGGGAGAGGGCTGTGAGGGAATAGTGCCCTGGCCTTAAGCACCGGGTTTTGGGGCCAGGCTCTCTCCTTACCGGACACATCTTGAAAGTGCAACAGCATATTAGCAACCATAGAAGTGACGAGAATTCAGTGTGTTAAAACAGTGAGAGCTCGCGTGCACCAGTTCCCGCAGCAGATGCTGTTCGGGCTTCAGTGTATCAGTCACTGATGGTGGTAAATGCTCGCTCATCACTATGACAGCTTTAAGTTTTTGAAGCAGTGATATTTAATTTATTTTGAAATCGCAAATGCCGTTAAAGGAGACATGCTATTTTTATGACATGAGTTTTAAATGCTTCCAACATGCCTCCCTCTCCTCCTTTGTATCCAGAGTGTGCGCTGGTGGCTCTCAGGACTTCCTGCGGCGCTGCCCACAGGGTCCCCTGCTGACTCTGGGGCCCCCTGACCTGCTCTGGGCTCCAGAGGAGCAGAGTCACGGTGGGACAAGATCAGGAAGCCTGTCATGGGTCTGTCTGTGATGCCCTGGGATTGCACGGTTATCCCAGCCTCTGTGCGTGCTCACATGGACATCAAATTGCTGTGAGGAACCAGAAAGCAGCCACAGGATGGGGTGGGGTGGGGGTTAGCTGGAAAGCCAGAGGCGTTGCAACATGAATTTGGAAAGCAAGCTACGGAGGACATGGAACATCTCCTCCAGCAGTCCAGCCAGCAGAAAAGTCACGATGCCGTTCAACGGCAGGCCGATGGCTCAGTGGCCCTCCCCAGCATCCCACTGGCCTCCAGTCCCTCCCCCGGGCACTGTCTGCTGCCTGAAAACCAGCCAGGGCAGGAGCGCTGTCTCAGTAGATCATCTGTTGTGCCTTTAATAGTCAGGCAACGTGAATTCTGCTGTCACTTCTGTCTAGAACCCTGCAGATCCCGGCACCGCCTGCAGCCCTCCTGGCCCCATGCAGAGCGTCCAGCCCGGCTCTCGGGGGCTGCTAGAGGACCCCCGGCAGAAGCCCACCTGGCAGCTTGGTGTGATGCCAGCCCTCACAAGCCTCCCCTGCCTTCTGGCTGTTGGATGGGGAGCCACAGCGAGGCTCACGCCTCCGAAGCTCCATCTGATGAAACATTTGGAGGTGGCCCTCCAGCACCAGGAGCGCATGTGTGGAGTGATGAATGAGACCCTGGGATGTAGCATCGGGCAGGGCTGTGGTTAGCCAACACGACGGCAGGTCTTCAGCTGCTCTTCTCGGGGGCACCGGGGGGATGCTTCAGCCTCATACAGAACAGGATTATAAAAAAGGCTGATTTTCGTCTGAATGGTGCTTCAGGCATTTGGAAGGAAACAGATGGGGGAAGAAACAGAAAAATATTATAGAGAAATGGAAAAGCTATTTCTTTTTAAACTGCTGGGCCAGTATTCTCAAGTGTTCTAGGGGAGTTCAAGGAGATCAAACCAGGTAATCCTAAAGGAAATCAACTCTGAATATTCATTGGAAGGACTGATGCTGACGCTGAAGCTCCAATACTTTGGCCACCTGATGGAAAGAGCTAACTCACTGGAAAAGATCCTGATGCTGGGAAGGATTGAAGGTGGGAGGAGAAGAGGTTGACAGAGGATGAGATGGTTGGATGGCATCACTGACTCTTTGGACTTGAGTTTGAGCAAACTCCGGGAGATAGTGAAGAACGTGGAAGCCTGATGTGCTACATGCAGTCCCTGGGGTCACAAAGAGTCAGATACGACTGAGCAGTTGAGCGGCAACAACGTCCTGTTCTCAGTGGTGTTGAGAAATCATCAGTACTCGATATTTAGACAAGCGAGAGGACTGTTGGTCTTTGTGGGATAGAGCTGGCCCTCTTTGGTGATACTGAGTAAGAACAGAAATTGAAGCAAAGGCTACGTGATGATCTTTATTGAAAGTAAATTTCACGAATATATGTACACATACATTTCACTGGAAACTCGCATACAGTTTCTCTCTTGTTTAATAAAACCTCCTTCCTGGTCAGCACCTTTTAATAAGTTGACAAAACCATGCATAAGTTGGTTTCTTGATGAAACTTAGACCTTGAACTTAATAGGGCTTAAAGATACCGATGACCCTTGAATATCAAAGAGGTCTATCTGTATCAAATTTAGCCAAAAGACTCCAAAGTGATCTCCTAAATTTGTTATTAAATGGAACACTCTTTTTAAAAACACGGTGGAGAGGGGGAAGCTGTGCATCGGTACTGATCTTTATGTAGCTCTCTGTTGTTTTACTCTTGGCAAAGAACAAGTTATATCTGGAAAGACATTTAAGAGTATACCTTCATTGGGATGATTAAGTCTTGACATGTGTGGTTCTCTCTGTTTCTTGGGTAAAAGAAGACCTCTTTTAAGTATTCGTATTTTGGTTATTCTGAACATTTTTACTTAATACACAGAGAGTTGCAAAACTTCAGGGCATATATATATTTTTTATGTATATGAAATACCCTCATCAGAATCTTCTGAGCCTAAAGATTGGAAGGATTCAGAAAATGCTAACTCAGTGATTTAAGCTGACATGCATTCTCTCTACCCAACTTGTGAGAGAAAGCTTGGATGACTTTAGAGTCAGTACCCTATGCAGAATTTCTAGTTCTGTTTCTACAAAGCCTAACAGAGATTGAAAACATCTGAGAGGAGAAGTTCTCTGTGAATGGGAATTGATTCTCTAATTGCTTTCTGCTTTGTGTTTGTTCTGCTTTTAAAACCACTTTTCTTTTTTATCTTTTTCAAAGTAATTTGCACACAGAGTTTGTAAAGCTGTGTAGTGAACACATTGAGGCTCATATTGACTAAAAACACAGTTCCCTGTTCCTCATCCTCATTCCAAGTCTTGATCCCTAATGGCTAACATTTTCTTTTTGCTGTTTTTCCAGCATCTACTTTAATACTTTTTCAACAATGCAGTTAAGTATTTGTATATGTGGTGCTGAAGCGAGCACAACAATGCAGTTAAGTATTTGTATTTATTCATTTAGGCATTATATATTACTTTCCTATTAAAACAGGTGAAGATCAACTCTTCTGTCTTACTTTCACCAGATTTCACCTTTCTTCATACTCCCATTTAGTTATTTCATCCTTTTTGTAAAACCATTATGTGATGATTGTATTGTTGCCGAACAAGAGATATAATATTACTTTTGTTGTTGTTGTTCAGTCATTCACTGGTGTCCTACATGTCCTTTTTATGTAAGTTTCCCCCCTGCATAATCAGTATTTAAATAGATTGATTTTCCTCCTGGAGACAAGGTTCCTGGACCCTTCCGTCTGTAATTCCAAGCTGACTAGTGCTCTGATGGCCAGGTGCATAGCTTCTAGCTGGGGCATCATCCTCACCATGAACCTGGCTGTATCTTTGCCTTTTTCCTGTGTTGGAAACAAAATCCAGAATATTTCTATGGCAGTCTTTGATTCTTTCTGCTTTTTCAGATCAAATGAATAAGATGACTTAAATCAAAAGGCAATATTTATGAGACACTAAGACCTACCCTTTCCCCCAACAAAAATAAAGCCTCTACTCCTTACCTTATTCAGCCCATGACAGACATGAACTTGGCCACGCAGAAGTCAGGCTGAGATTATGCACAGCAGTGCTATTGAAACAGCTCTACCCGGCGCAAAAAACTGGGCAAAATACTACAAATTCTGGACACTCTGCACAGACTTCTGTTCACAACCACACTGTCACTTGGTCTATCAGATGGTAAATTGCATGTGGTCAATTCCTTTAATCAATCCTAAATGAAATCAGTCTTGAATATTCATTGGAAGGACTGATGCTGAAGCTGAAACTCCAATCCTTTGGCCACCTGAGGCGAAGAACTGACTCCTTAGAAAAGACCCTGATGCTGGGAAAGATTGAAGACAGGAGGAGAAGGGGACGACAGAGGATGAGATGGTTGGATGGCATCACAGACTCAATGGGCCTGAGTTTGAGAAAGCTCTGGGAGTTGGTGATGGACAGGGAGGCCTGGCGTGCTGCAGTCCATGGGGTCGCAAAGAGTCGGACACGACTGAGCGACTGAACTGTGATTGCATGTGTCAAGGTTAAGAGGTTCCCCAGTCCAGAGATCTACATAACAAAATATGTTTTCAGCCTAGATCGTCTCACTCTGCGTTCAGTATCCTTTAATCCATCCTGTAGCAGAAGCCGAATGACCACCTGGTTTTTGATAAATGATCAATGATGCCACGTCCTCAGTGACATACTTAACTTCTTTTAGGCCATTAGAATGTTCTTTAGTGCCTTATTCTGTTATGCTAAAACAGGCCACCTATTTCTGTAGGCTTTTCCCTATTTTAGGCTTTCTAAATTCAGAGTGAAAAGTTATTGATTTTCCTCTGACAACATGTCTTTAAAGAAGTAAGGAACTCCTCTGATCTCTGCCGTATAGGCTGTCATGGAAACATCACCTTAGCAGATGCCTTGGGTTATTAGGAGGACAAAGAGCCAAGGTGGGACCTGTCTTCTAGACAAGCCATCCCTCTCTGGGCTGGCTCGCCCTGAGAGATGGTGATGGAGAATTCAGGAATACGTGTGGAGCTGCTTCTCCAAATACAGTGTACACCAAACTTTGGTGTCTATTGAGGCACTGGCATTTCTAATGTGGATGACTTAGACTGATTTCCAGAAGGTAGAGAGAGATGATTGGAAAATAGCTTCAAGGCAGATAGTTAATTAATCCTAAGCCCGCCTCTCTTTATCACCTTGACAATGAAATTACTGTCCTAATATAATTCAGTAGAGGACGTGCTAATACTCTAGTTAGTTCCAGCCGATGGGGGCAGGGGGCAGGCAAAAGCATGGGAGTCATCTGACCTCAAGAAGTTACTGTTCTTTTGAAAATAATCATGAATAGTTCAGTTCAGTTCAGTTCAGTCACTCAGTCGTGTCCGACTCTTTGCGATCCCATGAATCGCAGCATGCCAGGCCTCCCTGTCCATCACCAACTCCCAGAGTTTACTCAAACTCATGCCCATCGAGTCGGTGATGCCATCCAGCCATCTCATCCTCTGTCGTCCCCTTCTCCTCCTGCCCCCAATCCCTCCCAGCATCAGGGTCTTTTCCAACGAGTCAACTCTTCGCATGAGGTGGCCAAAGTATTGGAGTTTCAGCTTCAGCATCAGTCCTTCCAATGAACACCCAGGATTGATCTCCTTTAGGATGGACTGATTGGATCTCCTTGCAGTCCAAAGGACTCTCAAGAGTCTTCTCCAACACCACAGTTCAAAAGCATCAATTTTTCGGCACTCAGCTTTCTTCACAGTCCAACTCTCACATAAATAGTTAAGTACCTACAATTCCCAAAACTAAATATGTGTTGCTTTAAAACCAATGGCCAATCTGCCAGGGGATAGTCAAGAGTCACCTAGAAATGCCAGGGCCCAGCGCTGCACCATATCTTTCAATGGATCAGCTGTTCCTCCTGTTTATTTTCTTGGCCTTTTTGAGATCAGAGCTTCTTTGGGTGATTCTGTAACTCGAGTTTTCCCTTCTGTCCAGGCCTTGGCATTCTTTGCTCTTTACGTAGTATGTGATCTTGGTTTTTCTAGAAGATGCCTTTGCTTATGTACTTGACGCTGTGATCCAGGGCACTCCACCTCCCCTTCCCAGGCTGTCTGGATGTGCTGTGGTCTCTGAGTACCTGGAAGAGGAGACCAAGTTGGGATTTACAGTCTCTGCTCCCACGTCTTCCCCAGTTCTATCGGTTACGGTCCAAGGATGAATCACAGAGGGTAGGTTCTTGGGAAACAGGAGCCTGAGAGAAGAAATGGAGGCACTCACGTCCCAACAGAGGGAGGTCCCATCGCTGGTGTACTTAACAGCGGGGCTTCCCTGGGGACAGTTGTGGTCCTGCCGGCAGCATTTGCTCAGAGCCGGCCCCGGGCTCAGGAAGCCTTGAGTCAGCCAGCCACCTCCCGGGCCCATTTCCTTTACCTCTCTTTCTAAAAACAGATGAAATGATGTAACTGCCCACAAGGTGGTTTCCTATGAGCTCTAAAAAGCATGTTTTAAAAAAAAAAAAATGGTTTATTTTGTATTGGGGTACCACTGATTAACAATGTTGTGACAGTTTCATATGGACAACAAAGGGAATCAGCCATAATATACATGTATCCAGTCTCCCCCAAGCCCCCCACCTTTCACTGAGGCTGCGACATAGCAGTGAGCAGA